TCTAGGAAAAAGCCGCAGGGACACCAATAATTAACTTGTAAGGAAAATGGCATCGTCTATGACAAGTGGATGAACAGAACGACAAGCCACATTCTAGCCCTGAGACACCCACATTGTATTGGTCTGAGGCTATTTTGCTCACTCTCCAAGTTCTTACAGAATCTACATTATGTAAGAATTGCTGGCTGCATTATCTTTCAAGTTCTGCAAAAAGTCTTTGTTAACACAGTCACACATTCCATTGTTACTGTCAGGTTTTTATTATTAAACCAAAAATTCGCAATTACAGCTGTCTGAAACTCTACCAAAGTTGGCAAAAGAGAAGCTACAACTTTATATAATTACGCTGGTAGCATAAGTAGCCACCTGTAAAAAAAATCAAGGCAAAGTCTTTTTTATTAAAATAATCAGTCTTTTGTCTTCCCGTACCATTAGCAATATCCTTAATATTTCTTAATATTAAGTAAATAAGAAGTTCACTGGTATATATTAACTCTTTTTCCTCCAATAGTAAGTAGTTATTTTGTGAATACGCCACAACACATATTTGAGTTGAATAATTGCAAGTAAAACCTTTGCCACTTTATTATAATTAAAATCTTTCTTAGCATATTACTTTGTGACATCCAATGCATTCCCATATTTAAACATAACAGCCCTTGTAAATACTATATATGTACATCTATGTATCTGTGAAGTAATTTTGTGTTATTATCCTTTCTAAAACATTATTCCTTTATATATATTAAAGTAAATTATAAGTTAGATAGCAAATTTAAAGGAAAAACCATTCGACCATAAAAGGAAAATGAATTACAGAAAAAAAGGAAAACTGGATTCAAAGATTAAAAATATATTGGCATTTATATTCTTGAACAGCAGCTTCCCACTTCCCTCTCCCCACCAGCCCCTGGCAACCATTCTACTCTCTGCTTCTACGAGTTTGACTATTTTAGATAGTTCATATAAATGGAATCATGCAGTATTTGTCCTTCTGTGATTGGCTTATCTGAGGTAGCATAATATCCTCCAAGTTCATCATGTTACTACATGTGGCAGGATTTTCTTCTTTTTTAAGACTGGATAATATTCCATTGCATGTGTATATTATATTTTCTTTATTCCTTCATGTGTAGTTGGGCATTTAGGATGTTTCCATATGTTGACTATTGTGAATAATGCTATAATGAACCAGATATTTCTTTGAGATATCTTATTTTTTATCTAAGAAGTGATGTCATTGCAAAAAATGTCAGTTAAATGTTTAATATTTTTACTTTTGTATGACATGTTTCTGTGTAATAATAGCAAGTAATCATATACTGGATGGTTTCCAATTTTAGGTAGGGATCAAATCTGCAGGTGGCAGGTATAGGTCAGGAGGGTGGTTCCTAGGGGCAGAGAAACCTAAAACCAATCAGAGGCAGGGATTACAAGAAAACACAGAAAAGCTGATAATTATTTGCTAATATCCCACACCTCCTATAAGCTCTTCCCCAGACCAGGCCAATAAAAGGAAACCACATGGGAGTCCTCAATGTCTTTCTTCACCTGTAGAGACTCACTGTTCCTCTCTCTAGAATGTATTTTCACTTTGGGTAGCTTCCTTCTTTAGTTTCACTTTGTATACTTTCTTTCTTTTCTGTAATAAACTGTTCGTGTGGGATTACTTTGTATTTGTGATCATTCTGTCATCAGTTCAACTCAGTGCCAGTACTCACTTTTGATACTGGCAACCGAGGACCAGGGATCATCAAGATAGAGCTAACACCATGAGTTTATCAGATGTAATTAATATTTTCATTCACTCCTTTTCTAAGTGATTCAATTCAGTTACAATAGAAGCCACATTGTCCTTTCAGTTAGCAGGAATACCCATAAATTATCCACTTGCAATTTTGTTGATCAGTTTTCTATTTTATGATCAGTTTCATTGCAGAAACTCCACTACTTAGAATGATCTAAAAACTTGAAGGAGTTTCCAGGTAAATTGAAAGATAAACCAATGTCTGAAATTGAGGCTCAGGAAGCAAATTGGGATTATCCAATCTTCCACAACACTTATGGAATTGAGAAGATGCTGGGTGAGAGCACTTATTCTAAATGAGGTCATGATTACATGGCTTCTAGAAATAGTAGAATGTGTTCTTTCACTCTTGCCACGACTAAAGTGTATGGAAAAAAATTAAAATAATATCCCTAACCCCAAATTCTAGGTGATCCAATAATGTAAATGTTCTGATTAGAATGGTACATGTTAGATTTTTGAATTTAAATTTATGCATTTTACCATGAAAATCAAATCACATCCCAAATTTTTCCTCTGTGAAAATGGTAATATAATGCTTACTAAAATATTGGTTGAGAAAGTTAGACAAAATAATTTCTACAACATGACTAATATAATGTCCTCCATGTAGGAAGCACAACATTTACTTATGCATTTCTCTTTGTTCCATCACTTATTCCAGAAGTGATTTGTGTTGGCTTACCATAAACTAGATATACACCAGGAATTTAAAAATAAAACAGTAAATTATTTTGCGTACAAGGTGACAAGTCCTGTTGGAGTAAGATCAATCAACCAATACACATGCTACAGATGGCAATGTTTGGCAGTGGGAATTAGAGTGAGTTTGTCACAAAGGTCCCCCAACTGGGATAATAATAAAAAAAAACTCTATAATATTTGATATTTGAAACTCAAAGTGCTTTCATTAGTAAACAAATGGAGATGTAATTTATATGTAAAAAGAGATATAAATTTGCACTTCACCAAGCAGGAAGATCTAAGTGACAGCTAGCCAAGTGTAAAACACTAGGGTGGGAAGATACCTTCCTGGGTTTTGGGTAAGGGGAAAGTTTATGAGCACATGACAAGTGTAAAGTTTTCAGGTAGCTTTGAGATCTATATAAACAACAAATAAGTGATAGATAGCAATAACTGGCTAGCTAGCTAGAGGCATAGATGAGAAAAGTTATACTTAGATGGAAGTGATGGGGCCTAAATATCTGGAAATTGGTCAAATTGACCCTCAGCACTTGATTGGCAACCACAGGGAGATGTTCAATGCCAGAAAGGGAAAGTGTAGTCCAGGACCCTTAATCTCAATTGCTATTCTTGCTTACCTTCCAAAGACCTGGACTACACTTTCCCTTTCTGGCATTGAACATCTCCCTGTGGTTGCCAATCAAGTGCTGAGGGTCAATTTGACCAATTTCCAGATATTTAGGCCCCAACTGCTCATCCTGAGCATCTCTTATCCATTGGTGTTACCCTCTGAGTAGCTGACTGCTTTATATACTGATGCATGATTCCTAATGTCCTATATTATCCAGGACCAGTACCCTATATGTCATGTGCAAATCTTAACACCTGCAGCTAAGAGGGCCACCAAAATGCCAGCACTGCTCTCAAGATGGACATTTTGGGGTTCATAGAGTGTAATCCACCAATGCCACACTTGCTTGCCTCTGTAACCTGGTCTACATCATGCTGCACACTAGCGTCTGATAACTAAATTGTCTGAATTTTGATGCTTTGGATGCAGTCACAATTGCAACTATTTGTATGTGGTTTGGTCCGTTTGTTTGATTGATTTGAAAATATATTTGCAATGTATTAGTGTATTAGTATAATCCACTAAATAGCTGGCTACTAAATTAAAGAGAAATTTGCTCAGAGAACATTTTTTGAGACCTGCATTCTACAAGTCTTATGTTATTTAGCATATAAACAATAACACTTAAAGTGAATTTTCAGTTTGCTTTTCCCTTTATATTGCTCTCCCTACTTATTCTTTTGTTTGAATCCTTCCTTTCTTATATATCCCTAAGGAAAAGAAATATTATTATTTCTACAAAATATTCTATTAATACTCATTTTTTTTGTCATAGAGGAAGCAGCCCACACACAGTAAAAATGCTTTGTGGAGGCACATTGGAATATTTTATCATAATTATATTAAGTGAAGAAAAAAGAATTGTTAAGATTCACTTAGATTGATTTATTTTGTTTGTTGATAATGACATCAATTATCAGTTCCAGGTTGCTTTCTTAGTATAAGGCTTATTAGAAAGCATTGACTAACTCAGCATGTGCACTGCATGTGAAAATGAAAATGCTACTGGGAACACATAAGAGCTTAATATTCTGAACATGCACATCAATCACTGAAAGAAGATTAAAATTCACTGTACATTTTGCAAATCTGAATCTTTAAATTGCTAATTGAACTTTAATTGGATTTCATTCTAATTTAATTGTTAACACAAATCAAAAATGTTTACTTAAATGCGAGTATTCAAGAGATTTGATGGTCAAGTAATAGATTCTACTTAAGTCTATTAATTAGTCATACATTCCTGGTTTCCAGGGACTGAAATTCTATTCAAATACTACGGAATAAATCTGGAAAATGTTTTTTTTTTTTTTAGTTTGGTGGCTGAAATCATTTTGTTCATTAAAATAGAGCTTTTTCAATGAAAAATAACCACAGGGAAAGTTAAAACTGCACTATTCTCTGTTATGTGACAATCTCCAAACAATTAGCAATTGAAAACAAAAAAGAACCTAGTTGTTAATTTCCATTTCCCTTTTATTTTGGAAAAAAATAACATTCAATTTTGTTCAAGTGACTATAGGACTTCATCCAGCTTTTCTCTTTTTCTCCTTTTTAGCCTAGAATTTTATATATGCAATTCAATTAACACATTCTTGGAAGCAAATAAGAAGATGTTACTGGGTTTTCTGCCTAATCAAGTCAGTTTCTTTAAAACAATGTACTTATGGTAATTTATATATTTAGAGCTTATCCAGGGGTGGGGAATCTTTTCATGTTGGAAGGCCCCATTAATGTAGCTGTAATCAAATAAGGCTGCATTCAGAAAACTTCAGTAGATATACTTAAAAATGTATATTATTTTGTAAAAATCTAACTATGATGTACTCAATTGTTTCAAAAAATGAAAACTATTTGTTCATTTTAAATTTAACTAACCTTGTAACAACTTTGTTGTTTCTGCTTGGAAAGCATTTGTACTTGGTTGCAGCATGGAGGTTTGCAGTTTCAGTTGATCCTCTAGATGGGTATCAGTCCTTTGTGACCTTAAGGGTGTCTTGATTTGGGTTAGGTAGGAGCATGTAGATTTGCAGCAATAGGTGGCTGAAAAACAAGAAAGCATTTTTCAGGCATGTGGCTGAAGGCGTGGCTATTTTACTGCATTTTTCCATATTTCAATTGAATCTTTCTTAGTATTAAGCAATGACTTTAAAATGTCATCTACTGAAAGCTCAATCAATTCCATTTGTAGTTCTTTAGGTGCTTTGGTGATATCAACGAGGTGAGGCTGAAATACTAATTTGAGTGTGGTGTCATGATTCTCAAAGTCAGTGAAACTTTCATTGCATTCTTTAATTCATAGGTCCATAACAGCTACAAATCCTTCAAATGATTCACATATATTATTCTGATCATCAGTGATCTTTGCAGAAAATGTTCAACCAAAATTTCCTTTTGAAGAAGAAGTGTTTTGAAGAAAAGATAGCTTTTTTGAAATGCTTGGAATTTTTGCCACATATCATATGTAGACTTAGTTTTTACCTTTCAAAAAATATTCAAGCCATTTTGATTTGACAGGATATCACACAGAAATGCTTCATTCCTATGGGGATCTTCCTTCAATACTTCACATTGCTGATTCTGTTCTTCATAAAATGTACCTATCTGTTCTCAAAGATGTAAACTTTTGGCTGTCTCTGTGCTAGCCAATGCATTCAGAAAAACTACACTGAATACCTCATTCTTTAACTTTAGCATGTTATGAAACTGATTATGCCACCTTACATTTGCACTAATATAGTTAATAATGCTTATAACTTGTTGCAAAGTGTCACTTAAAATAGTAGCTTCAGCACAGAGATTTTGTTGATACAGGATACAATAAAAAGAAATGAGAGCATCTGGATCTGTTAGTACTTTTTATCTGTGTAATAAACCTTTCATGTTTTCCTGTCATTGAAGGTACACAGTCTATATATACAATCACTAAATTTACCAAATTCAATTCAACTTCAAGACATTTTTCTTGAAAGTTGTTGAAGACATCTGTTCCCTGGGTTCTGCTTGTAGGAGTGACCAAAGCAAGTAACTCTTATAGCAAAGAAAATCTTCTGTGTTGACCTGAATGATGTATAAAACCTGTGCTGAGTCAGTATCAGTGGATTCACCCAAAATGATGGAATAATATATACTTATTGAATATCAAATATGTTTAATATAATATATATTTATAATAAATTTTCCTTTTGGAGTATTGCATGAAGTTTTCTATTAAGTTGAAGGCAAATCAATGCTGCCAATAAGTTATGATTCTCCTTGAAAGAGGTAATTGTTTGTACTTTGAAATGTTATCAGGGCCAAAGCATCCTATAACTTCATCAATGCATTCTTTCACAATTTCTACATCACTGCTTCCCTTTTTCCTTAGTATATGAGCTACTTTTTAAGTTGCTTCAGTGGCATTATTTCCAGGTCTTATTGCTGCTTGAAGGAATTGTCTTTGTTTTGCTTTTCATCTTTTAATTTCTGCAACACAACCTTTTGCGCCTCTCCCTCTAATTTAAAATATTTGTGGTCCTTATGAGTGTTATAATGCTGATGAGCATTAAATTTCTTTAACGTTGATATTGTAGTATCACAAAGCAAGAAAATCATCTTATCTTTAGCAGAAACAAGATAATATTGCAATTCCCAATCCTCATTAATAATCTTATTTCTTTCTTCAGTGCCTTCTTGGTTTCTTTGACATGATGGGCTGTTAAGCAGACAGAATTAAAAAATACTGTCAAGCTGTGCAGCTATTCAGAAATTCCACTTCCAACTGAAACAGTACACTGTTGTCAAAAGCTGATAACAGACTGGCATACTCCACCCCATAAGCTCTCGCCAACCAGCCTCATGGAGTGGTGCCAGGCAGGCAGGGGAAGATAGAACTAAATCATGAGTATAGCAGCCATCAGTTTAGCCCTTATGGCTTACTAATTGGTGCAGGTCAGTCTGGGAGAATTATTTCATTGAAACTTATTTTATTCTTTGGTATTGTAAATATGTTCATTTAAAAAATGAAAATAAAGAACATGAACAAAATGCATTAATAAAAATAAAAGGATTTGTTCTGTAAAATTTGGATTCAGTCAAAAGGCACTTGAAGGATATAAAAGGCCAGAGGTTACCTGAGCTTTCCCTTAATCAGCTATCTTATTTTTCATTATTTATTCAGCTCTTATTTATAATTGAGAGCTTACCTGAAAAGTTCAAAGTATAAACTATTTCACTCATAAAAATGTCTTCCTTTGAACATATTTTTTGTAAAATGAAAACTTCACCAAAAATGTTGACCTCAAAATTCATAGATGATAACTAGGAAACAATAATAATATTATTAAGGATGATTAAATTCATAATTTCAATAGCACAACTCTGAAAATAGTATTTTCCCTATTTTATAGATGAGAAAACTAAGAATAAAAAATTTTGAATAATATATCTAAGATTATGAAGGTGATACAAACAAATACTCCATATGTTCCTGGATCTATGCTCAAGAGTAAGTTATTTTTTACTGTGTGGAACAAGTAAGCAAGAATTCTTCCTTATGAATTATGAACTATTCCACATAAGTAACAGGATCTACCAATAAACTCTATCATAAACTGACACTCTCAGTAATGGTAGATGGTATTGTTGTTTCAGCAGTTTGGGCTTTTTTCTTTCCTTTTAGTAACTTCCAGTCTCCTGATGCATTATTCAGGTACATACTGCTGACAGTTTTTATGATCTGTGCCATTTAAGAGGAAAATGTCTAAGCACAGCAGAAAGGTAGTGGAAGAGTTCAGAATGCACATGGTATTTCACTGTTGGTTTTGTTCTGAGATCAAGGGTATCTGTTCCTCTCCCAACCTAGAGTCTACCCATCAAATGCTATCCATCTACGTTATTCTTCCACTGACAAGAAGGGGCATATATATCCTTAGTTCTTTCCTGTTGTTTGTTCACTGAAAACATGATACATGAAACATTTGCCTGCCTCCTGGAAAAGTATATTTACATATGACATTACTGTTTATATCAGCAACCGTAGGTGTTTAAACTCTGTAAAAATTTTAGGTATTTCTTGCAAACTAGAGTTTGAAACTTTGCCTACTTTTAAGTTTATCATCATAGTTGTAATTCATTTTCTCTACTAAGAACAAAACATCAAAAACTATTATAAAATTATAAAAGTGCACACCCACCCAAGATAACACACACACACACACACACTCTCTCTCTTAAAAAATGTGGCTTTTGAAAAACATCCAAAATATGTGTACCAGATAAATATTCATAGTCAAACAATTTATGCATGTAAAAAAAATGACATATCTGTTTTTTATTCCTCAACCTCTTCTTGATGCTCCTATTCTGCCTAGTTGTAAATTACTCAATTGTCTCTTGAAAAGAAATTATGGCAGTGATTTCTTGGTCATTTCAATCATATGAAGATTTTTTCTGCCACTATTTATTGGGAAAGCACCTGCTCCACATACATCCTCTGCTGACACCTATGCCGTCCATGTTCCATTTGGTACTGGATCCTCCTGTCATGACTATGGGGCACCTTCCGTAGCTACCTTCTCTGCATTTATTTGTGGTGTAAAGAAAATTGTTGACCAATGGCCTTGGAGAAAAAATTTCTGTGAAGCTGCCTTGAGCCTCTCTTTCTAGATGCCATCAGTAGTCATTGTTATGTGAGTGTTCTGATACAAATCTAGACCCATGGTTTCACCAGTGTGCTTGTTGTTTCCTGGACTTCCAGTTGGAAAATGGGCCCAAATTCTCCCTAGTCTAAATTTTCCCCAAATTGAGTGGAGGTTTTAATCCCAATCCCCTGTCTCAAAGGGCATCTCCTCAGGCATGGTTCCCTCTAGCAATTTTGTTGGCCTCTGTCTCCCATCTCAGAGAACTCATATACTTCCCCTGATCACAGAATGTCAGGAATGGAAGATTTTGTCCTCCTCCACTTTATTGTCAAGACCAGGGCTTCACTCACAGATATTCACAGAGTGCTTTCATTCAACACTAATTTTAGGGACTGAATTGTGTTCCCTTGAAATGTGTTTGTTGAAGTCTTAACTCCCAGTATCTCAGAATGGGACTGTATTTGCAGACAGAGCCTTTGAAGAGATAATTCAAGTTAAGTGAGGTCATAGGGGTGGGCCTTAATTCAATTTGACTTCGTGTCTTTTCAAGAAGAGCTTTGGACACAGAGAGAGAGACACCAAGGATGCACACTCACAAAAGAAGGGCCATATGAGGACACAGAGAGGCAACCATCCACAAGCCAAGGAGAGAGGCCTCCAAAGAAATCAAACCTGCTGTCCAGTCTCCCGAAAACTGTAAGAAAATAAATTTCTGTTGTTCAAGCCATCCAGTCTGTGGTATTTTTTTTATTTTGGTCTAGCAAACTAATGCATTAATATTTAAATTTTGAATTTAATGAGCTCATTTTGAATCTGCAACACTGAGCCTTGACTGTGCTTTTCTTCAAATTCCTGCTATATCATTCCTAATCCACTGCGAGTCACTGAATTCTTTTAAATAAGTAGGAACTAGATCATGTACCAGGAATCAGGACACCGATGAAACTCATTTAATATTTTGATATTTCAGTTATATTTTATGTACAATGGAGTTGTTATTGGTAAAACTTTGCAATTGACTGTTGAGCTATAAACATTAGATCCAACCCTGTAACCAGAAAGGAGTATAGGAATTCAGTTTATAGGACTAAATTTACAACAGATCAGAAATTCAATAGGATTTAAATTAACAACACAAAGCTTTAGTTCCTGAATAAAATTCACTGATAATATAGCCAACTACACCTCATTAAGATTACAAAACAATATACACAAGGATAAGTAATTTGCCCAAAGTAAAAAAAGCTGATTTGTAAAAGAGAGGTGAAAATTGAACCTAGGTCACTTCTGAAGTATGCTTGCCTTCTTACTTTTATTGCACCCCAACAAACATACAAACTAAGCAGAAAAGTATAAGA